CTACCTTACACCAATCTCTTCGTTATCGTTTTCTTTTTCTTTTGTGATCCTTTTTTTTTCTATCTCTCTTCGAATTTTCATTGTTTTGTGTGGCGCATATATATTGGCGCTCTCTTGTACTAATACTTATGTGTTCAAATAAATAAATAAATAAATAAAGTCTTCAAAATAAAACGTCTGAGTTAAGTTTGATGGTGGATGAATTGAGTCTCGATATAATTGTTGTCACAAAAACTTGGCCTACCGTAGATATAGACTGTTTTCCCATCATTGCAGGATACATCTGTATTAAAAGTGATAGAGTTATAAGCCGCAAGGGAGGAGGCATGACGTTATATGCGAGGGATTACTTTTGTATACAATCATATCGGAGACCCATGTTAGTGGTACATATGTGGTAGCATATTGTACAATTAAGGCTAGACACGGATTAGTGACTACAGGAGGAATATACCGTAGTCCGTGTTGTCTTGCTGACGACCTTATCTTAAGATACATCTGTTGTTGGCGTAAGGCAGAATGTTGTCTCATCATTGGAGACTTCAACGCACAGTACATCAACTGGATAGAACTTACAGTTCCAGGTAGGGGTTTCGATAGCGACCTTCTATTAACCATTATTCAGTGTGCACTTGCACAATGTATCGCGAAACCGACACATTGACTCGGAACATGATCCGTCATTGCTGAACCTTTTCCTCACACACCACTGTGAGGGTGTCATCGACATTCAGTACCTTGCCCCGCCAGCGAATAGTGACCATGTTATACTTTAAGTTCCGGACACACTGTATACAATTTGTATCTGCTCCACCCCATCCCAATAACTGGGGAGCCAATATTCCGGCAACCATAGACTGTGTTATCTCGACTGACTGGTCGATCGGTGAGGATGAGTCGATCGAATACGAATGGAGTACGTTTAAGGCTACATTCGAGGCCGTAACATCACCGTTTATCCCAAGGTCAACACGTAAGCTATCACATTGCCCTCCATGGATTGATAAGGAAACATGAAAGCTGTTGAAGCGTAGGAAACACTTCTGGGACTTATTCTTGTCAACAGGACAAAAATCATCTAAGTGTGAACACCAAAATGTCCGGACTATATGTAAAAAGATCATAGCCACGTGCCGTACCATTTACTAAAGACAGTTGACATGTGATAGCCCTACTTGTCTGAAACGATTGTTTTCGCACGTTAAACGGCGAACGAAACGTAGCGGTATTCCCCCGTTACACGAAGATTCAGATTTACTAGCTCAATCAGATCTGGCAAAAGCTGAGACTTTTTCAAACTATTTTAGCAAAGTCTACTCTACGTGTATTGTTACAGATACTTGTCCCAATCACACCGAGATACCAGGCATAGGATCTGTACATGTGACAGAGGAAACTGTTTTTTCTATTGATCAATAACATCAAACCATGTAAGATACAGGGCCCTGATGGGTTACATCCACGACTACCGTCATCTTTTGCGGACATTATTTCAAGACCTCTCGAGACGCTCTTCAACATGTCCCTTTCACTCGCTCAACTCCCTAGAGATTGGAAAGATGATATAGTCAGTCCTATATTTAAGGATAGTCAGAGACAGATCGTATCTTACAGGCCTGTCAGTCTAACCGGCATAGTCGTTAAGTTACTTGAAAAGATAATTCGGGTTAAGTTACTAAGTCACATGGATTCACACAATCTGTTGACTCTGGAGCAGCATGGGTTTCACAAAAAGCATTCATGCTTGACTAACTTATTGCGAGAGAGGATTAGACAGCAACCCTAGACAATAGTCCGTCTGTTGATGTGAGATTCATAGACTTCAGCAAAGCGTTTGACAAGATTTCACACTTGGGTCTCATGCAGAAGCTCTCGAGCTCGGGAATAACAGGTGCTGTACAGAAATGTATGGGAAACTTATTGTGTGACCACAGGCATATAGTGAGGGTCGGTGGAACGCTATCCGAATAGAGACCGGTCAAAAGTGGTGTACCCCAAAGGCACTGTCTTAGACCCCCTACTTTTACTTATCTACATTTTGGTGGAGTTTTGTTCTCTGAGCTGGATGGTTTGGTCGTGGAGCTTTCATCGTTCTTCTGAACGACATCATCAGCACAAACTTCGGATAGAAGTGAAGTGTTTGAATTTCTCCATATGTGTCTCAAAGCTTGTTCTGTGCACCTCGACGTTGATTGGTTCTTATTGAACAAAACTCCACCAAAATCATCCACCCGAGCTACAAATCTTCTCCACTTCTCTACATTAATGAATTACCGCGATTGTTTAAGTCGTCGAGGCTATCGCTTGCGGATGATGTCAAAATCTGGAGAACAATAAGAAGTAAGGTTGATCACTTTGATCTCCAAGCTGGCCTAGACGAATTAGTTAGATGGGCTCGAGCTTGGGGCTTAGAGGTTAATTCTAGGAAGAGTGTACTCATGCACATCGGTCACGGTAATAATTACCGTTATACTATCGATCGTACATCTTTTCCATGCGTTCAAGAACATAAAGACTTAGCAGTAATAGTAAGTCACTTACAAACAATTACGCATTGCAACGCAGCTGCTGTCAAAGGTTTACGTGCATTATGGTAAAGTCGCCGAGCATTCAAATGCTTTGACGTGGAAATGTTTCGAATTTTATATCCCACCTATACAAGACGACAATTAGAGTACTGTATCCAAGCAGCTCACCCATGTTTGACTAAGGATATTAACTCAATTGAGCGTATTCAGCGTGTGAGAATGAAACTAGAGAAGGGTCTTACGATGAGCATTTCAGTCAGTCAGTCAGCTACAACATAGGACCAGGCAAATATATGCATCGGTCCAGGTTGCCATACCTCGTTAGCACAGCAAGATGAACACCGAATTCATAGGAGTGGTTAGGTTAAAGGTGGTAATATATAGGAGAAAGATTGCATATAAGGATACAGTACCGGAATATAGAATTAGTTCGTAAAGAGAAAGATATGAAGCGATTTTAATCTCTTAGTTTAGGGGAAGACAGGGAGTGTATACACCGACGCCATTGTGATCGATTCTGAGCCATGTCACCACGAGTCTCCAACCATCGGTTACGAAAGTCACGCGGACCCCAACCAAGTAGTCTGCATCTACCAACATGGCTCAGACTAGCAGTTAGTGACTTCAAGCACTGATGCCACGTTTTGGTTTGGCCGCCCCTAATTCTCTTCCAACCATCTCTAACACCGGTTAGCATTGTACGTCGTGGTAATCGGTGTTCAGGCATACGTAACACGTGGCCCAACCATCTCAGTCGATAAAGATTAACAACTTCAACTGATTTACCATCATTCCCTAATACCCTGCGTTCGACTACTTCACTCCCTATCCTTAGTTCAGGTGTTGACGCAGACCAGTCCTGAAGCAACAACTTGCATCTAGAGGGAGAGAAGCGCATTCCAAACATTCCGGCATTGTTGCTTAGTGCTGCCAGAAGACTCTGCATTTTGTCAGCGTCTTCACCAAACAGGACTATGTCATCTGCGTATTCTAAGTCGATAAGTGGACCTCCTGGTAGGAGATCAATACCCGAGAATTCAGTCGACGAGAAAGTTATTTCCATCAGTAGGTCTATGATGAAGTTAAACAGAAATGGAGAAAGTGGACAGCATTTGCGAACACCAGTTGAAGTTGCAAAAGCAGATAACAGTTCGCCATAAGCTCTGACTCGACTAGTAGTGTTCGAGTAAAGAGCCTTTACAAGGTTTATGTACTTCTGGGATACGCCTTTCAATGACAAACACTGCCACAGAATCTCGTGGTCTACAGAGTCAAATCCTGCTTTTAAGTCAAGAAAGACCACCATCGTCGGACGCCGATAAGTATGCCTGTGTTCTAGAACCTGACGAATGGTGAATATGTGGTCGATGCAGCCACTACCAGGTCTGAAGCCAGCTTGGTTTTCTCGTGTTTGCAGTTCACGAGTCTTAGTTTGGCGTCTGATTATTATTGAGGCTAGTATTTTAGATACTATATTTGTTAAATTAATCCCTCTGTGGTTGTCACAAGATGATTTTGACCCTTTCTTATATATTGGGACGATAAGTGATGGCGACCAGTCAGATGGAATAACATCTAACTCCCAGATCTTAGCTAAAATATTCGTCAACCTAACCGCTAAAATTGGACCACCATCTTTAAAGACTTCTGGAGCCAATCCATCTGGACCAGCTGCCCTTCCTCGTTTCAGATTAACTATAGCCTTTTGAACTTCTGCTAGAGTTGGGGGACCTACTTCAACGTTCCATTCACACTGTCTGGGAATGGAGGGTAGTTGTAGAGTAGCTGAAGGCCGGTTGAACTGTTCTCTGAAATGTTCCGCCCATCGTTCTAAACGTCTGGACTGGGAGCAGATGAGAGTATCGTCTTTTTCCGAAATAATTTCACTTACACTTGATTTATTAGTTCGTTTCTTTTATTAATCTGTAAAGTTGTCTTGTGTTCCATATAGCCGCCGCCTTTTACATCTCTTTTGTTTTCGTTGCCCTTCACTACCCATCACTTTGTCGTATCGTAGGATCCGAGGTGACCTTATACTGGTATTTCGTATCTTTAGTTACCATTTGGATGTTAATATATCTGCTCTTTTCTCTCCCTCCAGACCAATAATCTCCGAGGTAATAGCAAGAAGGTTCACAAACCACGATCTAATAAACTTAAAGTGGGGTTTTGTTGTTCTCATCGATTGGTCAATGACTGGAACGCCTTACCCAAACAAGTGGTACCAGCCCCATTGGTGAACATTTTCAAGGAGAAACTGGATTTTCACTGGTGGGTAAACTGTTAGAATTAACATAGGTCGACCAACCTACTATCCTCATTACTGAAGACTACATGAATACACACCATCAGGTCAACACTAGGTTTATAACCTACTCATATTCGGCAGTAAAAAAGAAACACAAAAAACTTCGAAGACCACAAAATTTGAGGAGGTAACGCTTAATATTATAATAATACAAAAATGTTTACCAAATGACCGATTGGGGGGTTGAATGGATTTGTATATCGTTTCCTGTACTCAGCCTTCATTGCATCCCTCATTTTTGCTCTCTGTTTTATGGCAGCTTGCTCTTCTGGGGTTTCGTAAAAAGTATTCCATGGGTCGAAAACAGAATTATTGCTTTTGGCCATCAGCGTAACGCACGACTTAAAGTACCACGAAAAATGCGAAACTCAAACTTCAAACATTGCTTGGTAGAATTAATGAATTACGCATCCTTTCGGACTTGTGTTTGGGTAGTTACAAGCATTCTTACATATTGATACTTAAGATTATTGATATATATAACACCCGAAGTAATCTTTAATATTAATGTAACTAAAGTAAAAGTCCAGCTTTCTTTTAAGTGATTCAGCAGAATATCCCGTCACTATTTCTTATAGAAGAGGGTTCCGTAACTTAATGATTTTAACCACAAAGAAGATTGCACAAGAAACACATAGAGAACCATGATGTTATAGAACATCAGCATCGCAATATTGCCACCTCATAAACATGGTTAATGTCAGTAGTGTATGGTAATGAAGTTCATTTATTTGGTTTCCTACCTAGTAGAGCTTGCACAATAAACTCTAGAGGTGGTGAGGTTGCCCCGTGCACGAAAAGTACCCTAACTATATAAGCTGTCGAGACAGTAGCATACGATTCTGAGACATGTGAACTGGTGCTCTGCAGAACGAAGTGTTAACTGTAAGACATTGAATTAGTTGTAGCAAATTACAATCCAAAGTGTTTAATGGGTGGCTTTCCGCTAAGAAAACTTAAATCCTGGTTAATAGGGGTAAAAGCCCTATAGTAGGTAATTTAAATGCACCACAATCTTCCTATCTTTGTTCCGGCACATTGGGGGATTCTACCATATATGACCTACAAAACTCGAATCCCTTGAACAATCTTTACACTGAAGATGCCACAGGTATCCGGGGTCTGAAAACTCTTTGACTAGTAACACCTAATTTTAATCGTACCCACCAAGTTAAATCAAAAGACAAAAGCGAGGAGGTTCGAAGATATATTTGATAGGCTATCAATATATCGAGGATCGTCTGATCTAATCTTGTTAGCGATTGCAGGGGTTGTTGAGCACGGCGTTCCCACTCGTGATCTGGTGCGGGTGCATGACTGAGCGTCTTCAGCTAGGTGAGTCCACTAAGACTAATGCGGTCAGCATCCGATGTCGAAGACTTAGTGAGCTGTTTATTTTGGGGATCTATTTACCGCTGCAACACGCTGCGATGATGTCAGTCAAACAACTTTCCTCCCATCTTAAGGGAAACGAGATCATGAGGTCATCCTTTACAAGTTCATGGTCGAGATGATCTTTCAATCAGTTGAGCCGGCCCATACAAATATATGGAAGGCAGATATGAAGGCAATCAACTTCGCATCCTCGGCTGAAAATCATAAAACTGACTCAGGAGCGTCAGTAGAACAGGCATGGTCTCACTTCCGACAGCTGCACAATCAGGTAACTTAACCTTTTGTGCCCTGAACAGTCCCAAAGAAGAAGAGCCACGGCCATCGCTGAATAGGCCGGGAGATTCGACGATTACCAAGATAAAAGAAGAAATGTTGGAACACTACAGTACGGTGAAACGCTGCAGGTGGGTACGAAGTAAGTGGGTAATTACAATCCAGGATGCTCATCGGGAATACGAAAAACAGTTGGCACAATCTGTAATCAAGCAGCCTAAGAGACTCTTCTCGCACATAAATTAGAGAACAAGGACGCAGCGTTGGATTCCTAGCTTAATAAAGAAGGGAGTGTGTCTGAAATGACAGAGGAAAATCACAAAGAAGCAGAGGCTACAGTAAACTATTTTGGGGCCGTTTTTACTCAGGGGCCTCTTTCTGACGTGGAACTAGACTCAAATACACCATCTTGAAGTCATCTGCTCACTGTAGACTTTGATTGAGACGATCTACATAAAGCTCTTAGCACTTTAGACACGGAAAAGTCAACAGGACCGAATGAATCACACCCTGAAATCTTTAGACAAATTGCACGAAATATCGCTGCCCCATGAACTACGATATTCAATATGTCACCTGACCAAGGTGAGTTACCAACAGACTAGATGAATGCAGTTGCCACTGCATTGCATAAAACATTATCAAGACAACCCCCATCAAACTAAAGATCTACCGGCCTTTCCATTGTCATAGTTAAAATACTAGGAGGAATAATCTAAAAATCTGGCTAGAAATCACGGGAAACGCAGATGCATGTGCACTCTGAACAGACATAGATAGCTGGTCTGAAAAATGGCTGGTGTCTATTAACGCAGCAAAGTCTATTTACACACACTTTGAGAATATAAAGCGAAATGTGTATAGCAAACGGAAAGTGCCAGTGCTCGTAGTTCGGTCACAAAAGGATCTTAGGGTGACAGTGATCCATGATCCAAAGACCACAGTCCACTGCCGTGAAGTTGTTTAGAACCCAATGGGCTTTAGAACAGACACTCACTACGTTAAATACTACCCTTTTCACTATAGTACGAAATCAAAACTTGAAAACTGCATTCAAGCTGCAAGCACCTGTTCGGAAAGTTGAATTGGAAAACGTTCAGAGGGCAGCTACCCGTGCAATTCCAGAACTCTAGGGTTAACCATACAAAGAGCGGCTTGAGAAGCTAGACCTCCTTTCTCTGTGCTATTGCAGATTAAGAGGTGGTCTGATTTTGATGTACAGAACATTAAGAAATGATTTTGGACCTGATATATACATTCTTTTACTTCCTAACAGATTAGAACAACTCAGATTACATAGCGGGCAAGTAGAGAGGTTAAGAATGAACAAGATACCTGCGGCATGCAGGTTTTCACACTGAGTCATCTATTCTCGGAACTTGTTATTCAAAGCAGTGTCTGCACCTTCAATTGACTCATTCAAAAGAAGACTAGGCACTCACAGAAGGTTACTAGAAAAGAACTAACCAATGCCGTAGGTCTTCTGCCCTCATTTGACAAATATGAAATCTAAATCTTAATATGAATTGCTTTATGAACTCCTTTATCTCCTATACTAAATGTATGTCCTCTTATGTGTTGTAGTACTGAATCAAATACGCGATGAAGAGGATTATGGGTCAACCTTTTACTCTACGAACCTTCCCGGTTTTCTTCTTTCGAACTACTTCTCAGGTTATTATTTCCGCCTTGGAGTGAGGATGCACAACGTGGATGTTTTCCAGAAAAGGATTTAGACAAGGACAAAAAGCAGTTCTATTGACGTCTTAGAAGTGACCTTATGACATATGGCATCCTAAAAACTTCTGGGCATCCCCTTAGATACCTGTTTAAGCCCAGTCTCAACACAAACCTTAGTGGTGACACCCAGAAACTGAAGACAAAGAATGGCAGAACGAACTGTAGGCACACCTACTCCTTGAGAGTAGTCAAGTGCTGTAATTTTCTGCAGGCTGAGCTAGTCCAAGTGACTTCCTAGGTTTTTTTATGAGGATGACTTGACACACTCTCAAAGACTAAGGACAGTATCTCGTTATGATTCACTAACATTTTTTTCTTTTTCATCGTTAAATATACTAAAGTTCCTACCTGGAGGCATCGGTGATCCATCGCTACTTATTAATACAATCGTACACCTTATTCAAGTTTTCGTGCATGAGATAAGGTATCGTATGGATCTGGCATCTGTCTCTAACTCTTAAAATCCTTTGTGTAAAACAGTTTGGGAGTCTAAGGCATCATGCAAATCGTTAATAGACGATAAGAATACAAATGGGACAAGTATTGAGCCTTGTGGCACTATGTTTATCACAAAGATCAAACCAAACAAGCACACGATGAGTAAGCACACTGGAAAACAGGTGATGATGGGGAATGTATGCGCTTTTATGAGTCTTAATCGATAAGTGAGTAGTCATTGATTGTTTGTGTTTACGGCCAGTAAGAAAATAGATGTAGGTTAGAATTTAAATATCCGTCCAATTAAAATGACACACTGTGTACATAGTAAATCGAATGTCTATATTACGGCACGAGATAATGAAAATATAATGGGCATAACTTCGCCTCTCCTATGTGACCTGGTAAGATAGACCACAAGACGAAAAGTTGAAGAAAACTTAACACGCATCCATTAATAATAATAATAATAATAATAATAATAATTGCTTATTGTTTTGAAGTAGAGGATTCGACGGTTAACTATATCAATCAAAACCCTTGCAGTCTAACTGGGGGGTTAGCGACACAATCATGCATGCGAATCATCAGTATAAGCAGTCGGACAAATCTCCTGCAAACTGAAAACACTGTCGGCTTTACCCCAAAACTGACTAAGGGTCAAGATATTATCATAAACATGAGTTGGAGATGTACTTCCCTTGGTTAAAACTTATGTTCTCCCTGATAATCACATAAGCATCACCCACTGTTAATCATCTTGTAAAGTCTTACCTTGCCGAAGACATCTTACAGCACCACATCACCTATAATTGCGACACATAACCTTATTGTCACTACATCTCGATAAAATCGTATTCCGTCTTATACTAAACTGATACTTGCAACTGACTTGTATATACCATCAGCCAAAAGGTATGAATATAAATAAATAGTCAATGGCAGATCAGAACAGTGAGTCTAGAGCACGTCTCTTACGAATACACCCATGTTTAACGAATTCCTCTTTGCTGTCTGTCCAAAATTCACATAATAATCACTTTTCACGTAATAAAAAACTGTTTTTGATAACCATGGATATGTATTAGTATTATTACTAAATTCAATCACGGTCAAGTAAAAATGAGATCGAGAAAATCTCCCCGTAACTAAATAAACCGTATCATACTCTTCTCCACGGTAATACTTTTGTTCTATCAGTTAGTCTACTAAAGCAACTCATAAGGACAGCTTACTGGCATAAACTTCATTTGATTTAATAATTTAAGACGGAGTTTATCTGAAAAATGTGATGTATTTGCGCTATACATTTCGAACAATCCGGTCACACATATACTTGTCAAGGTATTTTTATATGAAAATTAATAAAGGCCAACTAAATAACAAATATGATAGATTTCCTTTGTGACTATATTTCTTAAAAAATTTCACTTTTTCCTGTTCCGTTACCAGTTTTGAAAGAATTAGTTTTACTATGTACTGCTAATCTTCAATTCACTTTTGATGGTGAATATTTTTGACAAGTTGATGGTGTAGCTTTGGGTAGTCCTTTCGAGCCTCTTT